CGCCTACAACAAGGATTAATCACACCGCCAGTAAAAACGTCTGCCACGATGATCACGTCCAACACAACATGCCCAAACACTTCCGGAACATCCGCTCTGTCCACCACCTCAACCGCCGCCAGTACATCTGCAAGTGGGACCGTTTTTAGTGGACCAAATGGAAGCTCCAAAACCACATCTGCCGTTGCGACGTCCCTTGCAAATGTCACCGTAGGAAGCAGCGCAGCAATCAGTGCCGCCAGCAACACATCAGGTAACACCGCCACCGCTGCAAATGCCACAGCAGCATCGCGTAATATTAGTACTGCACAACAGGTTAGTTATTTATTCGAAAAAATTAAAGAGTTGGAACACCAGTTACGGGACACTCAAGCGCAGTTAAATGATAGCAACAACAAACGGCAAGCTTTAGAAGAACGGTTCATTTCTAATGAGTCGTCGACAGCGCAGTCGACGTCGAGCGGCGCTAGCAGTAGGGTTAATAGCGGTGCTTTGCAACTGCCGCTCGATGTCACCGACAATTCTATAAGGTCAGCGAGTGCAAATGTACATCCGTTTATAATGCCACCACCCGTTACCTTTCCTGCTGACGTCAATAACTTTCAAGCAGCCACAATAACAAATGCACAAGTGAACCAATCGCTAGGTATGCCTATTAATTATGCCGTGCCGCGAAAAATTCAGGATTTACCAGAATTTAGTGGGCTACCTGAAGACTGGCCGCTGTTTTATAATGCTTTTACTAATTCAACGGCCGCGTATGGTTACAGCAATTTGGAGAATAACCAACGTCTCCTAAAAAGCCTAAAAGGCGAAGCTAGGGAAATTGTTAAATCACTCCTTATTCATCCAGAAAACGTACACGCTGCAATAGAACAGCTAAAGTTTCGTTTTGGTAGACCCGAATTGTTGATTCGAAGTCAGTTACGTCAGGTTAAAGATATTTCACTCATTTCAGAATCCGCGATTGAAAAACTCATTCCATTTGCAACGAAAACCAAAAATTTAGCTACATTTTTACAATCCGTTAACGGAGAACACCATCTGGCGAATCCTACGCTGCTTGAAGAGTTAGTAGGCAAACTCCCTACAAGCAAGAAGATGGAATGGGCTAGATACGCTGCTACTGTAACACCATACCCGACAGTTGTAGACTTTAGCAACTGGTTAAGCGGTGTCGCGAATTTGGTATGCACTGTTCATGATACAGAGGCCCGTCGACGAGTCGTACTGTATGCAAACGACAATAAAGACTACGGGCGACAGAACCACGGAGTCGGGAGGAATAGCTACAACAAGTGTCCACTTTGTATGGGGGAGCATAAAATTAGTACATGCAAAAGATTTCTACAGTACAACGTTGATGAGAGATGGGAGTATGTCAAGCGTAACCGTTTATGTTTCTCGTGTTTGCGAAGTGGTCACTCGTCCCGGGAATGCCGTAGTAAAGCGTCGTGTATGATAGACGGTTGCCATCGTAAGCACAACAAGCTATTGCATGAATCTAACAAGAATGTCAGTAGACCTACATCAGAGCGCTACGAGCAGCAACAAAACACAACTACTGGAAGAGAAGAGCCAATGCAAAACAGAAGTCAGGCTAACGGTGCCGTCCTGAGTTGTGCCGCTACACCACGCAATGAATATAAACTTTTGTTTCGCGTCTTACCCGTAGTACTGTATGGGTCTGGACGACGTGTGAATACATACGCTATGCTGGACGAGGGCTCATCCGTGACAATGATTGACAGTAGCTTGATAGCAGAGTTGGGAGTTAAAGGTCATCAGCACATGTTAAGCTTGCAGTGGTATGGAGGAAAGACGGCACAACAACCAGCTACTGTAGTTAACCTTCAGATTAGCGGAACTGGATCGAGCAAACGTTTTAACCTGCGTCACGTGTACGCGGTGCCAGATCTGGATTTGCCTATGCAGAGTTTAAATAATCATGATTTACGAGGAGCCTCCGAATATTTGCGCAAAGTACCCAATACGTTTTCAAATGTAAAGCCAAAACTACTTATTGGCTTGGATCACTGCCACCTAGGGCTGCCGACAGAAACCATGCAGTTTGTAAAGAATGGGCCATATGCAGCTAACACGGAGCTCGGTTGGGTGATATTCGGATCTACGAACACTAATAAAACGGTACGGGCGACGTGCTTGCATATGAACGAGGTGAGTGATCAAAATTTACATGACATGGTAAAGAGATACTTTGAAATCGAGAACTTTGGAGTGCGGCCGGCACCAGTGGTGAGAAGTGGCGCTGATGTACGCGCAGAGAATATTTTAAAGTCCACTACTGTACGTATAGACGGAAGATACCAAACCGGTTTGCTGTGGCACAAGGACGACATCCAGCTGCCAGACAGTTTCCAAATGGCCGAACAACGACTCAGAGGAATTGAACGAAAGATGAGTAAGAATAGTGACTTTGCCATAGCATATAAATCGACAATTCAAAGCTACATTGCCAAAAATTACGCGGTAAAACTGAATCCCCTTGATTTCAATAAAACTGGCCCAAGGGTTTGGTATCTTCCACACTTCGCAGTCGAAAATCCTAACAAGCCTGGTAAACTCCGCCTAGTGTTCGATGCTGCTGCAACCGTAGACGGAATATCCTTAAACTCCTGTTTGCTTAAGGGTCCTCAAGGCTACCAACCAATGCCAACGGTACTGTACAATTTTCGGATCGGAGCTATTGGTGTTTGTGGTGATATTGCGGAAATGTATCACCAGATCAAGATACAACCGGAAGATAGGTGCGCGCAAAGGTTTCTTTGGAGGGACGACTCCAGACACGCGCCAGACGTGTACGAAATGCAAGTTATGATATTCGGAGCCGCATGCTCGCCTTGTGCCGCGCAATATGTGAAGACCTTAAACGCTTTTGAGTACGACAAGAAATTTCCACGCGCTGTCGAGGCCATCATAAAGCATCATTATGTCGATGACTTTGTGGACAGTTTCGAATCCTGTAAGGAGGCCATAACCATTACCGAACAAGTACGTAGGATACACAAAGCGGCGGGTTTTTACATGCGAAAGATTGTTTCCAATTCTGCAGCCGTATTTAAGACATTTGCCAGTGCAACAGATG